CGAGCTCGGTTTGAATCGTCCCTTTCCTCGGAAGGGTTTTTCCCTTAGACGTTTTCTTGTTGTCTTGGGCGTGTTCATTAAAGGTCTTCGTCTTCTCGTGACGAACCTTGTGCTCGCTAGCGTCCAGCACAAAGTGGGTTACTTCAAACTTGACAGCTAAGTCCATGGCGTCACTCAGTGTCTCAGGATTCTCGAGCTCTACGTAGCTCCGCGTGCGAGGCTTGAGACCGTTCGCGTAGAACAGGACTTGGTCAAGCACGCCTATGCTTTCGGCTCGGAAGATAAGGGCAGAGTACTCGCTGTTGTAGGTCTCGATATCCGCTGCCTGCTTCCGACACTGGAGCTACTCTCGTAGCACTGACTGGTAGTTCGACGCTACAATTTATTGGAGCACATACTCACGGAAAATCCCCCACGTGTGCTCTTCCACTCGCGTCGTCGAAGCCCAGTGCTGGAACCATCCCGATGCCGGTTTCTCCATCGCTGACCCGGCGATTCCTGGTAGTCGCAGATTCGCGTCGTTGATCGCGATCCCGTTAATTCGGCAGGCGATCTTGATCTGGAACAGCCTTTCGCGCACGCCCCCCGCCCCCCCCCCCCTTGCCGGTGAGATAGGGCAGGTTGCTGGGCGCTCGCGTGCATTTCGCCATCGCTTGGTTGAGGCGGTCGATCTCGACTTAAAGTTGTGCGTTCGTCAGCATAGGCTCTTTGCTGTCAGGCTGCTGGGACCAACAAGTGCTAACAGTTTATCGAAGTCAGGATAGCTTGGGGGAGAGCGCGCCAAAAGAAAAGTGCCGCCCCCGCAATTCAGACGGATGGAAGGTTCTAGAAGCTTCCACAGCCGTCCTACATCTGCTTGTATATTAATTACTATGCCTATACATTCCATAGTACTAACCGCCCATTGCAATAATACAATAATATCACCCAATCAGATACATTAGTCGTTTTGTTCGTCCGCGCAGATCTCGACTGGATGCGTCGTCTGGATCATATACTGACAGCTCGGATGCAAATGAAACTAAACGAGCGCGCTAGGGCTCACTGGTTCTTCCTGGGCTTTTGACTGCGAAGATGTCTGCTGAACTGAGCGAATCCACGCATCTACGGAGGTGAACAACGCGCTAGCAGTCGCAGCGTCGGCTGCTGTGCCGCCGGAGAGTTTGTGGCATGAACGTTTGGGGGCACGTATCGAAGAAGAAGTTGGCCTTAGTGTCAAGAGGTGCGATCGGCGTCCCGAAGTTCTCGGGAAGCAATGAAGCAACGGAGAATGAGCCATGTGC